TTAATTTGAAACCAAATAGGCCTTGAGACAGAAACTTGGCAAGAAAGAAGTTCTTTGACAAAGGGAACAGATGACAAAAATAACTATCCTGAACCTATATGCACATTACAATATAGCCTCAAACTACATAAAGCACAAACCTACAACATTATAAAGAGATACGGACAAGCCACAATCATAGTGGTAGATTTTAATCCCTTCTCCCAGAAAGTGAGACAAAAAAAAAAATAGAAAGGATATAGAAGATTTTAACCACAGTTATTCATCTTGTGTCTCATAAATAAACAACTTTTCAAGTACATACTTACAGGAATTAATCATGTACCCAAGGCCACAAAGGAAATATCAAAAGACACTAAAGAATTGCTTTTATACAGGTCACATTCTGTGATGTCAGTGCAATAAAATTCTAAGTCAGTAAATGAACCATTTCCGCACAAAACCCATGCATTAAGAAAATTTCTAAACATGCTTCTAAATAATGGGTGAAGGAAAGAATACTCATGGAGTAAAAAGATTTTATCACTGAATGATGATAAAATATGATACAGCATAGAACAACACAAATATGGTTATTGCCTCCATGGGCATCTTCAAAGCACAGGGGTATTCCAAAGGGGTTAAGGCAGCAGATGGAAGCCCTGAAAACTAGGGCAGGTAAACAGGAGAGGTAGAGTAGTGCTGGACAAGCTTATTTCTCAATACTTTGTTCTCCTTCCTGCTTTTGCTCATTTTGCTGTCTGTCTCGAATGCCTTTCCTCCCCTGCTTACCCTCCAACCTGCCTCCACATCCCAACCCTCATCTGGTGAATTCTTTTTCATACTTGAAGACCCAGTTCAATTATCATTGTCATTGTCACAGACTCAGCTTACCCTTGGCTCCCAAAGCATCACCTTTCTAGACCACGTTTTGATCACAGGTAGCTATCTGTGTATGTGTTTCTCCTTTACTAGCTATTACATTCTAGACAGCAAGGGCTGTATCCTAGACATCTTCCCCTATGTAGAGCCACACACGGTGGGCACTCAGTAAGTATTTGTGGAGAGTCCCTTAGGGTCTTCATCTCTGACCTGTGTCTTTAATTAGCTGGGGCATTTCAGACGGTGGCCTGCCTGCCACGGCTGGAGGAAAGACCCCCATTCTGGTTTCCAGAAGTGTTCCACAGAAGGCCCCAACATTTCTGTGCCAGAGAGAGCCAGAGAGCCACATTCCTACCAGGTAACGGCCCTCACAGCTAAATGCAATGCCACCCTGAAGGAGACCACTTGGAAGGAGAGCCCAGGATTTTTGGCAGATTCCATATTCTAATATGCCTCCTGGAAGTCTGTAAATTTGGACATTTGCCCAAATTCTGTCTAGAAATTGGTACTCACCTGCTTTTGGAGAAAGAAGTAAGATGTCACTCTGGGCAAGGGAAAACCTCATTAAGGGCTGTCATTTATCTCCCCGGGGAGCCGCTTGCCTGTTGTGAACCGAGTCCGAAAATGCAAATTCTTTCTTGGAGAATGAGTATGGCAGCTGATATTGCAACATCGCTCAGAATAATTTGAGAGCCATTCTTTTATTATTATTTTTTTTTAATTTTTTTTTAACGTTTATTTATTTTTGAGGCAGAGAGAGACAGAGCATGAACAGGGGAGGGTCAGAGAGAGGGAGACACAGAATCCGAAACAGGCTCCAAGCTCTGAGCTGTCAGCACAGAGCCCGACGCGGGGCTCGAACCCACGGACCGCGAGATCATGACCTGAGCCGAAGTCGGCCGCTTAACCGACTGAGCCACCCAGGCGCCCCTCTTTTATTATTACTATCATCATCATTACCATTATTTCAACCTAGCAATTAGGTTAATATGATTTAGTCAGCATTTTCAGCAAATTGCTATGGCATGAAGGAGTGTGTGTGTGTGTGTGTGTGTGTGTGTGTGTGTGTGTGTGTTAGGGACTCATGCTATCCTGTTTTAGGGGTTAATGCTTTAAGCACAAATATGTGCCCCAGGCTGAAACCTGATGAGTGATAGGGAGCCAGGGAGAAAGAAGGGCTCCTATCGATACTTTTCCTTATTAATATGAACGTAATCAACATGACTGCCTAGTAAAATATAACCCATATTATATAACCCGGTCTGTGAGGCCACACCAGATCACACATGTACACATCAGCATCTCAGCACCTCCTGTGCGTCCTGGCACTCTCTGTGGCTGAGCACAGTAGCAGCCCCAAAGAAGGCTAAGATGAACTTGACCTAAGAAAATGGAAGCAGCCCTTGTGGCTTGTCTCTTGCAGGAGCCACTGCTTGATTTATTATCACATCCCCAATTACCCAGTGCTTTAACACACCTGGTAAAGCAGGGGGGCAGGGGCACGAACAGCATTAGATCCTGTCCACGGACAGCCAGGGCGCATCACCGAAAAAGTTGAAGTGTTGGCATCAGCAAGACCTGAGTGTGAATCTTAGCTCTGTGACCTTGCAGACATTCCTAAACCTCTCTGAGTCTGTTTCCTCATCCACAAAATAGGAGCTGTAAACTTCTCCCCAGGGCGGTTATAAGTGTTAAATAGGATAAAATTCATGTATCACTGTAGGCACATGCATTTAGGCACTCAGTAAAGAGAAGCTATTTTGTTGTGATGGTCATTCTGTTCTCATGAATTCACGCCATCTGGACCCTTGTTTCCTGGTTCCACAGTGCCTAGATCAGTGCCTACCCCAGGGCTCTCATGGTGCTTGCTGGCCAGGGCCTCACAGAACCTCCATGGCCGAAGGGACTGTCCTGAAGACATCCAGGAGGAGGCACCCCACCCCTGGGGAATCTCTGTCCTCTTCCCCCCGCCCCCCCCCCCCAGCCCTGAGAAGTAATTTGAGATGTCAGGCTGGACATTTCTCTCAAAGGACAATGTGTTTTCAAGCACTGACAGGGCGACAGTGTGCAGGCTGCGCCTGGACGCTCGGTGACTATGTTTGGGTCTCCCTTTCCTGGGAACCCCCTGTCCATCTGTAGTGTTCCTCAGTAGGCACCCACATGACAGGCCTCTGAACCCCATTATGCCTCATCTTTTTTGGAGACTGTGGCCAGGACTGAAAGACCCGGGGCCATCACTGCAATGGCAGTAACTCTGCCCAGAGGGTAGATAAATGATCTTGTCGATGGTTTAATCCCCCACCCTTAAGCTTACTTTTTAAAACTTAGAGGGGCACCTGGATGGCTCAGTCGGTTGAGCGTCCGACTTTGGCCCAGGTCATGATCTCACGGTCCGTGAGTTCGAGCCCCGCGTCGGGCTCTGTGCTGACCGCTCAGAGCCTGGAGCCCATTTCAGATTCTGTGTCTCCCTCTCTCTCTGCCCCTCCCCTGTTCATGCTCTGTCTCTCTCGGTCTCAAAAATAAATAAACGTTAAAAAAATTAAAAAAAAAACTTAGAAATAATAAACAGGGAGAAAATGGAAAAACTATAGTTCTACTCTCTGAAAACCTTTGCTAGCATTTAGCAACACCTCTCACAAGTCTTTCTCTAATACATATTTTACACAGTAATTATCGTCCACGTATTTAATAGCCATGTGTGTATGCCCTGCTTCTTCCATTTAATTGCACAGAGTAAGCATCACTTTAAAAGTCACTTAATATTCCGTAAAGAAGGATACGCCATGATTTATTTACCCCAATCACCGGAACCCTAGATGACTGCCCAAACATTTGCTATGGCTTTTATAAATCTGCAAACACTTGCAAATGGCATTACGAAATAAATCAAGCTTTCTCTGCTTTGGCAGTAATTTCAGGAATTATTTTCTAGAAATGTAAGTATAAGTTTAAATGTTGTAAGCCTCTTGATACGTATTACCAAACTAATTGCCAAAAGACTTATACCAGTGTGTAAACCCCCAAACTTTGGTCCCCCCCCCAAATCCCAGCATCCTTAGAGGATGCCTCAATTAAGCAGCAGAACACGGACTCCTCCATCAGTGTCACTCCCATACTGCCGAGGACAGGAGGTGACATTAGGATATGCACGATCAAAGTTTTTTTTCACGTATTGGCAAAACCGACATACCAAACCATCCATGTTTCTGTAAATGTCATTATTTAGGACCTGGTTAAAATATGTGTGTTTCAGTTGTTCTGTTTGTGTGTCTTCAGTGTGTTGGGTTGAAGTAAAACTACTATGTCCTAAGAGTTCAGCAGTACACTGTTAGGACAGACGCTGTGACAGTGGCATAGGAATCCCCACCCTGGTCAAACAGGCCGAGCCCAGCCGTGCCCTTAGGACAGGGGCGAAGGAAGGAAAAGCGAGTGGGGAAAATTGGTTTCCACCCATAGGCCCACATGCCAATAACATGCAGAGACCCTTGGAGGGCTGAGAGTGAAGTAAAAGCAGCATTTTGTGTTGTTACCAGGCACGATGCCCTTGATGGAAATGAGGGATCTGAGAAAGTGAAGTGACCGGGGCAGACGTGAGGGTACCAGACTCCACCATGGGGATTTCAGGCATGGGGAGGGAGGAAGAGACAAAAACAGGCGATTCGGAAGGAAGTTTTGTAGACCAATCAGACGGTTTTGCAATCTGGCCTTGAACACAAGTGTTGTCAAACTGTGCCAGAGCTGGGACCCGTTTCTGCTGCTGAAACATCCAGGTGTGTGGCAAGAGCATGAGCTTCAGATCCTGGTTCCACCACTCCGTGCCCAATTTTGTAACTTTCGATGGGAAGAGTGACACTACTAATTTCATAGTACCAGTGGGAGAAAGGGAAGGGACGGGGGTATCTAGCTCGGTGGCCAGCGCACAGACAGACTGCAACAGAGGCCAGTAAGTAAGAGCTGGGGGGGGGAGGAGGGGTGGGGGAGGGGCGAAGACATGTCAAGTGGTGACAGCGGGGAGGGAAGAAGAGGAGGATGTGATACAGTATTGAGTAGTGACAGTCCCGCTGGTGGTCTTACCACCCAGATAATTCTTGGCTCTCCGTCACAGGGCTCAGAGGACATCCTGCCTCTCCCAATCTCTACCGAAGGAGTCCCAGAAAGAAAGAGGTGCCTGGCAAGGGAATTCTATGTACCCCCTGACTTCCAAAGGGCTGGGACGGGTAAGTACTATTGAGAACCTATACTCCAACCGTAGTGGGCTGAATAGTGTCCCCCTGCAAAACTCATGTCCACCTGAACCTCAGAATGTGACCTGATTTAGAAATGAGGTCTTGGGGCGCCTGGGTGGCGCAGTCGGTTAAGCGTCCGACTTCAGCCAGGTCACGATCTCGCGGTCCGTGAGTTCGAGCCCCGCGTCGGGCTCTGGGCTGATGGCTCAGAGCCTGGAGCCTGTTTCTGATTCTGTGTCTCCCTCTCTCTCTGCCCCTCCCCCGTTCATGCTCTGTCTCTCTCTGTCCCAAAAAAATAAATAAACGTTAAAAAAAAAAATATTAAAAAAAAAAAAAAAGAAATGAGGTCTTGGGGCACCTGGGTGGCTCAATTAGTTTAAGCACCAACTTCGGCCCAGGGAAAGATGGCACAGTCCGTGGGTTCGAGCCCCGCATCGGGCTCTCTCGGAGCCTGGAGCCTGCTTCGGATTCTGTGTCTCCCTCTCTCTCTGCTCCTCTCCCACTCGTGCTCTCTCTCTCTCTCTCTCTCTCTCTCTCTCAAAAATAAACATTAAAAATTTTTTAAGAAGAAAAGAAATGAGGTCTTTGCACATGTAATTAGTTAAGGATCTCAATGAGGGTGGGCGCCAAATCCAACGACCGGTGTCCTTACAGCAAGAGGGGAGGACACGCTAAGACACAGGGAAGAAGGCCTTGTGGAGTTGGAAGCAGAGATCGGAGTTATGCTACCATATGTCAAGAAATGCCAGGAGCCACCGGGGGCTGAAGACAAGGAAGGACTCTCTCCTAGAAATTTCAGAGCAGCATGACCTGAAATGTAGCAGCTCAACAGGGCCCAGAACCAGTGCCCTGACCCCCATCCAGGGGGTCTTCCCTCACTTTAGGAAATCCTCCAAGCCTTGGACGTGCGACTTTACATCTAGGTTAGGACCAGAGAAAGGCCCATTTTGACCAGGCCCCTTACCCCACTGTGCACATGTCCTTCCCAAAGAGCACTCGGTGAGTGGAGCCTACTTCTCCTAAGAATGACTTACTGCCCAGTTGCAGGTAAGAGCTCCGACTGGTTCATCATCCTGAGACTGGTGAGTTTGCTCAACGATTGGCCTAAGAGGGAAAATGCCAGAGAGTTCCCTCCTCCTGCTGAAACCAAGGGGCAAGAAGTTAATCCCCCAAAGGTGCTGCCAACTGCCACAGGATGTTTCATCGTAAATGAAAGATACACTGCATAAATCATGTATGCTCAGTACTTGTTGAATCAATGAATGTTGGTGGATAAATATCGCTAAGCATTCCTTTAATGGGGCACAGAGTTATCTTTTTTTTTTTTTTAAGTTTATTTATTTCGAGAGACGGAGCGAGAGAGAGCATGTACATGCATTGGGGAGGGGCAGAGAGAGAGTGAGGCCAAGAATCTCAAGCAGGCTCTGTGCTCCCAATGCAGGCCTTGAACCCACGAATCATGCGATCATGACGTTAGCCGAAATCAAGAGTTGGACCCTTAACCAACTGAGCCACCCAGGCACCCCAGAGCACAGAGTGTTCTATTCTGCATGTAAACAATTGCTTCCAGGGGCACCTGGGCGGCTCAGTCGGTTAAGCATCCGACTTCAGCTCAGGGCACGATCTCACAGTCTGTGAGTTTGAGCCCCATGTCAGGCTCTGTGCTGACAGCTCGAAGCCTGGAGCCTGCTTCGGATTCTGTATCTCCCTCTCTCTCTCTCTGCCCCTCCCCTGCTCGTGCTCTGTCTCTCTCTGTCTCAAAAATAAATAAGAACTTAAAAAAAATTTTTTTTTAAATAATAATTGTTTCCATTTGTTGAGCACTTAACTATGGACCAAGTACTATGCTAAGTTTGTTGGCCAGGCCCCATCAGAAGCAAGCTGAACACTCTAAGCAGGTCATTTGAGGAGAGTTGAATAAAGGGGCTATTTGTAAATGTGTGGCCAAGTGGGGGGACCCACAAAGGAGAATGCAGTACCCCAGGGTAGATGGCACAGAGCTCCCTGGGCTGTGACTTGGGATCAAGGGAAGCAACTTACTGATGGTGCCCAACAAGCAAAGAACCTGCCCTCAGCCTCATTCCTGTGCAGGATCCACAGGGACAAAGGGAAGGTAGCCTTGCCCTCTCAGAATTTGACATAACTTAGGCCATTTAATTTTCACAGCAGCCCTGTGAGGCAGGTACTATTATCAGCAGCCCATTTCAGACACATGGAAACTAATGGTAAAAGAAGAAATAACTTCTGGTAAATAATTTCTGGGTCAGGATTTGAACCCAGATCGCTCTGACTCCACAGACCATAGAGTTTTTCCGTTTTGACGTATTGTGCCATGCGTTGCCATGAAATTAGCAAAATGAATTGGTTTAAAAAAAAAAAAAAAAGATAACTCTAAAACTGGATTTTCTCTCCCCCTTAACTTTTCATATCAAATATATACTTTTCTTTGTCGTTTGGGGATGGGAAAACTAACTCATAAAGTAACTAACTGGTGAACACCATAGAAACATGTTAAATCACTAAACAGTGGGGACCTGAATGTTCTGTTATTCAGAAAGAAAAGAGAGAAAAGATGAAAGAAGACGTAGGCTGTGGGCACCAGACGGATCTTGGTGGTCGGCAAGCTCCCTCCCCTCCCTGTGTGGGGAAGACTAGAGAGGTCAGCTGAGTGGAGAGCCGTGAAAGCCATGAGCCAAGAAAGCGCTTCAACCTCACCCTCTACCATAGGTACACTCTGCCCTCACCAGCTGGAGCAGCCTGTCCAGGCTTTGGCCTTCGCTCATGCTGTTCCTTCTGCTTGAAATGACTGGAAAGAGCAAGTTCTAACACGGCTCCAAACGCTGCACGCACATCTGATTTCATCTTTGAAACAACCTGTTAGATGGGTCCTGTTACTACCCTCAGTCGACAGCCGTGGGAAGTGCAGGCACAGAGCAGTTGAGTAACCTACCCGAGATCTCACAGCTAATAAGTAGCGGAGCAAGAATTCAAACTCAAGGAATCTGATCCAAGCCCTTGTTCTGTTCTGTTGAACTCTACTTTCTAGAATGTCCTAGCCACTTCCTCCCAGCCTCTGTTCAGTTCCTTCCTATGGATATCTCAGAGGCCTATAGCTTCGGGGCGCTCAAATTTTTCTGTCAAAAGACTTAATGTCTGAGGACAAGGAATAGGTGCTCCTGGGGTCTGGAGCCATACCCTTGAACCTGTCATGTAGGAAAAATCTCTTTACAGTCTCTTGTTTTTAAAAATTCACCCAAGGGGCATCTGTGTGGCTCAGTTGGTTAAGCGTGTCTTAATTTTGGCTCAGGTCATGATCTCATGGTCGTGAGATCGAGCCCCGCGTCCTCAGCAAGGAACGTGAAGCCTGCTTAGGAATCCGTCTCTCCTCTCTCTTTCCCCTCCCCTGCTCGTGTTCTCTCTCTTTCTCAAAATAAGTAAACTTTAAAAAAATTTCATCCATATTTCATCCTCTTCTACATAGTACTTTCATGTATGTTTGGTTGTTAAAACAATATTTTTAATTACTTACCACCGAGTAAGCTGATGCTCTAGCGAGAGGCACCAGGCTTATCCTCTGACTTCACCCAGCCCACCACGCAAGCCCCACACCCTCCAGGAATATGAAGCCCCCCTTAGTCCCAACATTGCTTCCTCAGGCGAACCTGCCTTAAGTCTGCTCCACCTGGCTGAGCTAGGAGCCTGTACTCACCCATCCCTCAAGACGGTGACTCAGTCCTTCCTTGAGTAATTCACGCAGCTGCCCTAAAGAGCTGTTAGTTCCAAAAGGCGCCGGGCAGAGCAGGCAAGAAGCCAAGTGCTGCCCTGCAAAATGATGTGACACCATGAGGAAGGTGGAAGAATGACCCGCCCACTAAAGAAACATGGTGTTTCTCAGTGAAGGGCTGCTAAAGGTTTATCAGCCAGCTCTGGGTGCGGGCGGGGGAGCCATGATTTGTGAGGTTTGCCAGTGCCCGTAGTGTAAAGATTCCCACCATGGCCAAGGTCAAGCTGCCAGTGTGATGTCACTAAGCATGGAGTTGGACAATGATACTCAGTGATACACATCCGGTATTCGGCCGCACAGAATCAATAGATGGAAGTTACTTCAAGAACGTAGATGATACTAGAGTAAAACAATTAGAAAGTACTGAATTTTTAGTATTTGTCTTCAGTTTGATATATTTGCTTATTTTATACAGTTTGCTACTTCTTAATGGCAACGCTTAACAAGCGGCTTGCAAAATTCCTAAACATGTATCAGTCAGCTCTTATAAGCCAGGATAGGCTACCTCCGGCACACCACTGAATAGCTGGATTTTTCTTGCATGGTTTAAACAACACTGTCTCGGGGCGCCTGGGTGGCACAGTCGGTTGAGCGTCCGACTTCAGCCAGGTCACGATCTCGCGGTCCGTGAGTTCGAGCCTCGCGTCAGGCTCTGGGCTGATGGCTCGGAGCCTGGAGCCTGTTTCCGATTCTGTGTCTCCCTCTCTCTCTGCCCCTCCCCCGTTCATGCTCTGTCTCTCTCTGTCCCAAAAATAAATAAAAACGTTGAAAAAAAATAAATAAACAACACTGTCTCCCAAAATTAATTGTTGTGTCAGGGAGAAATGTATAGTCATAATTTAATGTCACTGCTAGATCGTAGAACCCGTACCTATGGGGCTCACACTGATGGGAATATTAAAAAGAAATCCAAAGAGGGGCGCCTGGGTGGCTCAGTTGGTGGGGCTTCCGACGCTTGATTTCAGCTCAGGTCGTGATCTCACCATTTGTGAGTTCGAGCCCCATGTCAGACCCTGTGCTGACAGCAAAGAACCTGCCTGGGATTTTCTCTCCCTCTCTCTCTCTGCCTCTCCCCGACTTGCTCTCTCTCACTCTCTCTCTATTTCTCTCACACTCTCTCAAAAAAGAAAAAAAAAAACACTTAAAAAGAAAAAAAGAAACCCAAAGAGAAGGATCCTTACTCACTGCCAACTATGGGCTGCAGGAC